GGGGGGGGGGGGGGGGGGGGGAAGGAGGGGAATTTGTTGGGGACTGGATTAACAAACTCTCTTGACAGTCTACATATTTAAGGAGTTACATGGAACATAATAAAAAGTATTCAGGAATCGGTATTTTTTTTTGTGAAGTTTTTGCCTCTCTGAGCATAATTTATGTAGTTGACCTCAAATAGTTGGGATAAAGGTTTTGTTGGGTTGAGTAGAGTTGAAGCTTTCATCTCTGCCCTTTTTTGTATTTCTGTGGAGGAATGTATTCTCAACACTTGCTCATCATTTGCCCTGTGTGAAAAATGGTTGGGGATTTTTTGAAAATTTCTGTTAGCAAATATTGCTCTAAGCTTCTAACCACTGGTTTGACTATAGACATTATTGAATGCAGTCATCAGTTTTCCTGATCCATATAAGACTACTTCAAATTCTGACTCACACAGGTGGTGTAATAGAGTAGGCAAGTCTGAAAGAGTGATCCATGTGGATTTTTAATTTCTTGTTTGGTTATCTATCATCTCATTAGATGGCCTGCTAGGTAGAGTGATTGCAACAACACCAGCACTTGAATTTTCTTTTATATGCAAAATCGTCTCAATATCTTTATCCTTTTTGTTTTCATTCTTCCGAAATTTTCAATGTCTCTCTCTCTCCTTGTATTATGTCTCACGCAATAGCAATCACTGGTAAGACCGAGTCACGTAATCTGTGCTGTGTGCCCTCAAAAAGTTGGTCAAATTCAATAGATAAGAGAAAAATATTCATTCAAACACTTAAATTATTAAAACTCCAAAGACTTTGGGGCATGTGTTAGATGTTTATTTTTTGGAGGGTTTGGATTGGATTTGTGAAACCTTCTCAAACCCAGCCCAAGGATTATTACTTGGAATTCAAGTAAAAATTCTATCCAATCCCATGTTTGACAGGTAATAAAAATACATATGGGGTTCATCGATTCATGTTAGATCATATTACTCAATTTACTAAAATATCTATTATTAAGTGAATAGAAGAATAATTTGATTGGGTAAAATAGTTTTTTTATCTACAAATCCAACCTCTCTCTTTTAAACACTCCGAGAATTCATCAAACTCCCGTTTGTGAGTTTTTATCAACTATTCACTACGAGTCGGGAGTAAGACGAAATTCATTTATCCTATGAATCTCAAATATCAAATCTTGAACTAAATACGAATTTAAAAAATATATTAAACTATTTTCACAAAATTCATTACCCTTTGAGTTTCATCCAAATCCACATACCAAACATGCCCGGATGCATTGATTAATTCAGAAGTTAGTTAAGTTGTCGCTTTTTGCCATGACACTGAAGCAACCAAATGGCAGAAGAAGGCCCCTTACTCAGTCAATTGTTTTTTTTATTTATTAACATTTCATACCTTACATCAAAAGTCTACCAAAACTGAAAAATGGGAGGAATTTGATATATAAAAATAGGAGTACGTTATAAATTAGATATGAAATAAGCATAGAATAGTTAATCATTATTAATTCTTTTGAAATTCTTTAAATTATTGGCATTATTGTAAAGGGTTAATTACAAAATACTCTTTTAACTTTGAGTAATTTGTCATTCACTTTTTTAAGTTTTAATTTTAATAAATAACTCTCTTTAAGTTTGAATATTTTATAACTAACTCTAACAATTAATTTTAAATTATAAAAAATTGTATATGTTAGACATGAGATATTTACATAGTCTCTCCTCTATTGAAAAAATACAATTACCCTTAAAAAAATGTGTGTATGTGTGTTGGCGTTGGATGGAGGTGGAGGTCGAGGTGGAGGTAGAGGTGAAGGTGAATGCGAATATAGTGTTGTGCACTGGTGTTGGACTAAACATAAGTATTTTTTTCTTAATTTTTTCGTTTTCTTATTTTTTAAGGATAGAATTGGTATTTTACGAGTTTGATTGTTCATTCTTTATTGCAAGTTGTCTTAATGCATTGTAAATGAAAAAGAAATGTTTAACTCAAAGTGGCTCAGGAGGTAACAACAACGAGTTGTAAAATTAGATGTCTTGAGTTCGAATTTTAGCAATTCTTAGGGACCAAGACATGAGGGATTTATCCATCATAATACTTTAGTCCCGACATAGATGACTTTTTTTTAACTGAACTAAAGAGAAGATTAATCGAAATGTGCGTAAACTGATGTGAACACCCTTAAAAAAAAAGAAAAAGAAAAAAAAAAGAGATGTTCTAGACACGAACTTATGGACACAACGCCCTACCCCATACCAATACGAATTAATGAATTCATTAATATCATGGACTATGCGATCACATTCAAAGACTCTAAGATTGAAAAATTATATTTGTGTCCAATTTTAAAATAAAATATTTAATTACAAATAAAAAATAGCCCCTATATGCTTAGTTAACTACTAAATTAATCAAGTTAACCTTAATTGCGTTTACTTCAAGATACCTTAACGGATTGGAGATAATACAAATCATAATAAATGAAGGATTGATTGTGAATCATCTAACTTTGACATTACTAAAACGTCTCGGGATTGCTATTCATTGACCAGCCTTCGAGCAATTGACTTAATAATCGGGGCCTTGTTTATTGACGTGATAACCTTCTCCATATCAATACTCACCCCATGGATTCATAAAATATCGTGGACCATTCAATGTGTACCGGATTTGAAATTTAAGAATCCAAGGTTGAATGATCACATTTGACGAATTCACTAGCTATCTGACTCAAAATTAAATACTATGGTGGTTGGCTCGAGAAACTGTATACTATTAATGTTTCCATTATTTTAGCTATGGCTAAATGTTTAGTTACTCGAAAAAACACAACATGTGATATTATCATTTAATATATATGAGCTCATAAAGTCGCACATAACACATGTAGTGGTCACTAAGTTATGAATAATGCTATTTAGACCTAAAAAAAATTTAACCGAATTTATTGACATAATAATGTGGCGTCATAAGAATTATTGGATCAACACCAAGTTTCAATGTTTGATGGGATTTACAGTCAATTTAGAGGTCATAATAAATTAAGTCAGCAAATTATGTTAGTAAATTAGGTCCTAATAGCATTATTCTTAAGTTACTATGCTGGACAAGTATTTCGTTTTTACCACANTTAGGTCCTAATAGTATTATTCTTAAGTTACTATGCTGGGCAAGTATTTCGTTTTTACCACACGTCAATATGTTGAGAGATTAGGAAGTCCAGAGATACAAGGTTATATATATATATATATATATTCACTTAAAAGTTTAATTTTATAGGTGGTAATCTCATTAATTAACAATATATTAAGACATTTTAACTTATTTTTTTATTTGATGTGTGATCCCACGCCTGCAATACCTAACAATCTCTCTCTCTCATGTATGAATTACATCAGATTTAACTCCCCTTTGAGGCGGATCCACAACTCTATACAACCATCGCGTCCGAGCACTCTTTTGCAAGAGTCCGTTCTTCTAAGAACTAAGTTTTTATTAGTTACCGCATTACTACTCCGCCAAGAGTCCTCGTGCCCAATCCCACACCCTGCCCTTTTTTCTTTTTTTGAGTTGTGTTTCCCTAATTTCAACACCAAGGGCATGCCCCCCTTGACCTATACAGACTAATGTTATTATTAATATCACTATTTAATAACAAATCGGCATATAAACAAGTGAACTCTACTTAATTTAGTAATTATCTTATTTATATATAAAATTTATTATCAAATATGATTCATCTTATTCAATTATAAATTTATTATTAAATAATACACTACGTGACAATAATGATTTGACAATACTGTAACCCCCAATATTCAATATTAGATCACTGCACTTCACATCAAGGGGTCATTTGTTTTGAGTATTAGAGTGGTACAAGAAGATGATATTAGAAAAATAGTACGTGAGACCCATCTTATACGTTGTTTGTTTGACATTTTATAGTCAGTACTATTTTTCAGGTCGTAATACTTACCCGCTATGAACAGTAGCCATAATGCCTTGTAGAAGGTCTTAATGAATACCACTTAAGGGGTGGTATTATATTCTTGGTATATGTATTATAAACTAAAAAGATCGAAATGCTTTCCGGTACAATTCCCATATAAAAGCTTAGCCGCAATTTTTTGACTTTTTAAAGGTTAAAATTGTCTTTTATATTGATTAGCCGCAATTGTTGACTTTTTTAAGTAGGTATTACACAGAAAATATTTGTGATAAACATACAAGGAGAATTGTGAGATTATAGTTTAACACTGAGTATAATATACTATTAGATTGAAGTGAAATGAATATAAAATTTTATATCACCTAAATTTTATACTCGAAACAAACATTCCCCAAGTGTCTATATTGTGTATAATTAGGTATAATTTGTGTCTTCAGACCTAGTGTAACATGAGTGAAAAATGATAGATTTGAGAGGAGAGGGAGCAAAATTTAATGTAAGTAGTTTTGAGAGAGATATTAGTAACCATTAGATAAGTTTATTTAATATTATTGAATAAATTTATTAAAATCTGTTTTATTTTATATTATAAATTAATGTTGTACCGAGTGACTTTTGGCATCCTCCTTGTGTTAGGTTGGGCATAATGATCAAACCCGTTGTCTTTTTCGTCCAAGAATAGTTAATAAAAAAGTTGTCCCATTATATGGGATTGACTACACCAATTTTGTTTTCCCAGTCTTCTCTTTTAGGCCACAGGGTTATAAAGTAGATTTCCATTTGAAAAAAAAAACATATAGAATAATTATAGAAAATTATAATTTTTTAAGTTCAAATTATAGTTTTGTAGAGTTTAAGTTACAATTTAAAGAGTCATAATCGATCGTTCAATATTTTGATCTACTAATGATTAGGTGTATTATAGTAGTTAAGTTTGTCCTCTTACAATTAAGAGATTTTAGATTCGATATTTTTCACATCTTCTAAAAGTCAACCACTCTTATTCCTAAAGAGATATGTTCTTAAACTAATTCGAGTTACGGTGGCCGATTCAGAGCTCTAGAGAGTAGTTGACGCAAGTCTAAACACCTTGTAACAAAAAAAAAAGTATTTTGATCGATTATGAAAATCTAAAGGTTTTAAAAGCAAAGTTAAATATTTTAAAGGTAAAATAATAATTAACTCAAGTTATTTGTTATCGAACATAACATTTTATGATCAATTACAATATTTAAAATTGATCTTAAAATTATATATTAAACGATAATGAACAATTATTATAACTTCTCTTTTGTAAAGTGTAAATTAATTTTTAACTATAATTTTTTTTTTCTCAACCTTAGATCAGCAAGGAAAAGGACAATTTAAGCAGAAAGCATGAGGAGAGGAGACGTCAACCATGGCTATCCAATAGCCTATTATCAGCCCCTTTCTCTGATCTATAAAACCCATACCCCAGCTTGAGTCTACAGCAACTTTCTGTTATACTAACATGGCTTCTAAAAGTGAAGCGACTGTAAAACTTGCAGGAGATAAGTACCGGTCTTTCTTGCATGAGGAAGCAGATAACGTCCACTGGAGACATGGTGGGCCTCCCATATACGACGAGGTGAATCAGCTCTTCGAACAAGGCCGAACCAAGGTGTCTAACCCTCCCTTCACCTCTCTCTCTCTCTCCGGCATATGAATATGTATATATGTGTGTGTGTGCGTGATTGATAAAGTTCTATGGGTTAGCCTCTACATCTCTCTTAAACANTCTCTCTCTCATGTATGAATTACATCAGATTTAACTCCCCTTTGAGGCGGATCCACAACTCTATACAACCATCGCGTCCGAGCACTCTTTTGCAAGAGTCCGTTCTTCTAAGAACTAAGTTTTTATTAGTTACCGCATTACTACTCCGCCAAGAGTCCTCGTGCCCAATCCCACACCCTGCCCTTTTTTCTTTTTTTGAGTTGTGTTTCCCTAATTTCAACACCAAGGGCATGCCCCCCTTGACCTATACAGACTAATGTTATTATTAATATCACTATTTAATAACAAATCGCCATATAAACAAGTGAACTCTACTTAATTTAGTAATTATCTTATTTATATATAAAATTTATTATCAAATATGATTCATCTTATTCAATTATAAATTTATTATTAAATAATACATTACGTGACAATGATGATTTGACAACACTGTAACCTCCAATATTCAATATTAGATCACTGCACTTCACATCAAGGGGTCATTTGTTTTGAGTATTAGAGTGGTATAACGAGGTGGTATTAGAAAAATAGTACGTGAGACCCATCTTATACGTTGTTTGTTTGACATTTATAGTCAATACTATTTTTTGGGTCGTAATACTTACCCGCTATGAACAGTAGCCATAATGTCTTGTAGAAGGTCTTAATAAATACCACTTAAGGGGTGATATTATATTCTTGGTATAGGTATTATAAACTAAAAAGATCGAAATGTCATCCGGTACAATTCTCATATAAAAGCCTAGTCGCAATTTTTTGACTTTTTAAAAGTTAAAATTGTCTTTTACATTGATTAGCCGCAATTGTTGACTTTTTTAAGTAGGTATTACACAGAAAATATTTGTGATAAATATACAAGGAGAATGATGAGATTATAGTTTAACACTGAGTATAATATACTATTAGATTGGAGTGGAATGAATATAAAATTTTATACCACCTAAATTTTATACTCGAAACAAACATTCCTCAAGTGTCTATATTGTGTATAATTAGGTATAATTTGTGTCTTCAAACCTAGTGTAACATGAGTGAAAAATGATAGATTTGAGAAGAGAGGGAGCAAAATTTAATGTTAGTAGTTTTGAGAGAGATATTAGTAACCATTAGATAAGTTTATTTAATATTATTGAATAAATTTATTAAAATTTATTTTATTTTATATTATAAATTAATGTTGTACCGAGTGACTTTTGGCATCCTCCTTGTGTTAGGTTGGGCATAATGATCAAACCCGTTGTCTTTTTCGTCCAAGAATAGTTAATAAAAAAGTTGTCCCATTATATGGGATTGACTACACCAATTTTGTTTTCCCAGTCTTCTCTTTTAGGCCACAGGGTTATAAAGTAGATTTCCATTTGAAAAAAAAAACATATAGAATAATTATAGAAAATTATAATTTTTTAAGTTCAAATTATAGTTTTGTAGAGTTTAAGTTACAATTTAAAGAGTCATAATCGATCGTTCAATATTTTGATCTACTAATGATTAGGTGTATTATAGTAGTTAAGTTTGTCCTCTTACAATTAAGAGATTTTAGATTCGATATTTTTCACATCTTCTAAAAGTCAACCACTCTTATTCCTAAAGAGATATGTTCTTAAACTAATTCGAGTTACGGTGGCCGATTCAGAGCTCTAGAGAGTAGTTGACGCAAGTCTAAACACCTTGTAACAAAAAAAAAAGTATTTTGATCGATTATGAAAATCTAAAGGTTTTAAAAGCAAAGTTAAATATTTTAAAGGTAAAATAATAATTAACTCAAGTTATTTGTTATCGAACATAACATTTTATGATCAATTACAATATTTAAAATTGATCTTAAAATTATATATTAAACGATAATGAACAATTATTATAACTTCTCTTTTGTAAAGTGTAAATTAATTTTTAACTATAATTTTTTTTTTCTCAACCTTAGATCAGCAAGGAAAAGGACAATTTAAGCAGAAAGCATGAGGAGAGGAGACGTCAACCATGGCTATCCAATAGCCTATTATCAGCCCCTTTCTCTGATCTATAAAACCCATACCCCAGCTTGAGTCTACAGCAACTTTCTGTTATACTAACATGGCTTCTAAAAGTGAAGCGACTGTAAAACTTGCAGGAGATAAGTACCGGTCTTTCTTGCATGAGGAAGCAGATAACGTCCACTGGAGACATGGTGGGCCTCCCATATACGACGAGGTGAATCAGCTCTTCGAACAAGGCCGAACCAAGGTGTCTAACCCTCCCTTCACCTCTCTCTCTCTCTCCGGCATATGAATATGTATATATGTGTGTGTGTGCGTGATTGATAAAGTTCTATGGGTTAGCCTCTACATCTCTCTTAAACATCGTGGTGACATGAATTGTAGGTATGGCCAGAAGGATCCCTAGAAGAGACGGTACAGAATGCTATAAAGTCATGGGAAATGGAGCTTTCTCATAAGACTCGCCTACAAGACTTCAAGACCATTAACCCACAAAAATTCAAGCTCATTGTCAACGGTAAAGCACCTGCAAATCCCCAACTTTTTGCAGTTATATTATTTCTTTTTAACATTTAAAGGAATATATTTAATTTTAAACTTATTTTAGCCAAACATCATACCACACTCGTAAAGACCCTTACTACATGCGAGGAGAGATTCATGTATAGCCTAAATCTTATTTGAGACCTTCCACAAAATATTCAGGTTAAGATCTACCATGAATTCAATCATTAGTTGGTAAAAACACTATAATTCTAAACAAAGATACCAAACTAATCTCTCATCATAGCAAGCAAAATAAGGGGGAAAAAAGTGGAAATTTCATCTCTACTCTTCATAAGGGATATATTATTCTGCCTTCCGACACTCCGCACTTCAAAAAGTTTTCTAGTACAAAGGAGCACATATTGTGGTGTCCATTTTGTGGGGTTTGATGATTTTGGGTTGATCTTAGTCGAGGTTGAAAATTTGAGTTTTACAGTCTAAATTAAGGTTTGGTGGTTGATCACCGGGGCTGATAATTAAACTGAGCTACTCGAGTTTGGTTCGGGTACCGCTCGTTCTGGCTCGGTTCGTTTTTTAAACGAGCTCGAACTTGAACAAATTTTTAACCTCGTTTAAAAAATAAGTCCTACAAGCTCGACTCAAACTCGACAAGTTCGTCTCGTTTATGTGTAAATATTCGGACTCGGTTCGGGCTCGATTTATTTTTGACTTATTCAGGCTCAGCTCGTTTTTTAAACGAGTCGAATTTGAATAATTTTTAAAATTCAATTAAAAAATAATCTTTTTAAGCTCGGCTCGAATTTAGCTCAAGCTCGTTCGATTAACAACCTTATTGATCACTAGTGCTAATTTAGTGAAGTTCGTTCTTAAAAAAAATAATAGACACGTTTAAAAGTTTCATAATCCTACCAATAAAAATTTATTGGTGTAATATCTGAGCACTCCCTCAGTACCATTTTGGATTGATAAGACTCAGACCTATTGTGGTTCTGGCCCAGATTTGCGATGGTAGGTTTGGACAGTAAGGATGCTTCGGGTGGCTGGTACAATAGTTGGTGGGTTTATGTTCGTGTCAATCAACTCAATCGGTACTATCCTTCATTTATTTACCAAGTATAACTGTTTTTTTTTAAACGTTGATGTTTGAGTTAGTTTATAGATATTTTGATTAATTTTTTTAAAATTTAATCAAAAATAAATTATTTACGCTAAAATTAGAATATTTATGAGAGATAAATATCTTATAATTTGACCCTAAAAGATCGTCAAAATTCGAATTTCAAATGTTTAAATTTACAATTCGTTCTTATTACTGTTTAATTTACATAATACTTTCTACCAAAATTTTTAATACGTTTTGAATTCTAAACAAATATATGAGTTATAAGATCGATGTATAAACTCTCATTAACTATCCAATAATTATTAATGTGTCACATTATTTAAAATTCAAAATTTAATAAAAATTTTGGTAAACACAACATTTATCCATAAGTTTATGTTTTTCTTTTCTTAAAATATCTTTTGGTGGTGGGCGAGAGGTCAAGAGCATCATAAGTTCTAGATAGCAGGATTGAATGTTGTCACAATACTGGTTTATTGGGGTCACGTGGAGAAATGATTGTGACTAGATAATCGTTTTTTCGATAGAGAAAAAGTTACGAGTATTGTTATTGTCACATAAAAAATTAATTTGATTTGTTAATTTAATAACATGACAAGCGATAGAGTTTCAATAAAAAAATTTAACACCTCCAAAAGATGATATACATTTAGGCTCAAATGTTTTGAATTTTATTTGAGTTTTGAAGTATTGCTCATCCTTAAGAAAAATGTTACATAACCCAAATGAAATCCAAATGCATATCATTTCTTGGATTAGTGTGAGATAAGTAGACTTCACTGAAAAAATTGATGAAATCCATTCGTCTAAAAGATGATATGAATTTGAGTTGTAACTTTTTGGGTTTTATTTAGGTTTTGTAGAATTGTTCTATCCTTAAATTAGTTTGAGTTATGGCGGCCGGCTCAGTCAGAGCTCGAGGGAGTAGTCGGCACAAAGCTAGATACCTATAGCAAAAAAAAAAAAAATTGAAAAAGTGCAACGAGAAATTAAATCAATTTTGTAAGTATTAATAGCATTGCACAAAAATTATAAGGGCAAAAGGTCGTGGTTTATGAAAGGGTTCCAAAGGTCCTATAGCCCATCCACCATGGCCGGTCCAAAACATTGTGGCCCACAAAGTCTAGTGGTTTCATGAATGGGTCCAAAAGTCCTACAACCCATCCATCATCCGGTCCATCCCATTGTAGCCCATAGACATCCATTACTCTGTTGAAAGGGATATGGGCCACGTTTTGACCTACCCGGTCCCACACCTACTGTAACATTTACTCCTGTTTTTTGGTCTAATGTTTTTGTCATTGTAGCAGTGTATACTTGATATAAAATAATTAAAAAAAGAAAAGAAAAGAAAATAAAAAGTGGTGTGTTTGTTCGGTGAGACAGGAAGAGAAGGATTGGCAGGAGAAGAAACTCTGAGGCTTGGAAGTTACAACGCTTTGTTGAAGAATTCTCTGCCGGAGGAATTCAAATACTATAAAGCAGAGGAAGAGAGCTTTGAATCGTCTCACGATGCCTTTCGATCGGCTTTTCCTCGTGGATTTGCATGGGAAGTACTCAGTGTCCATTCTGGACCCCCATTGATTGCTTACAAGTTCAGGCACTGGGGCTTCTTTGAGGGGCCTTTCAAAGGACATGCCCCTACTGGAAAGATGGTTGAGTTCTACGGAATGGGAATTTTGAAGGTACTCTCTCTCTCTCTCTCCCCACTACACCTACCATTATGGTCTTTTGAAATAAAGTTTCATAAGGTTTTTTTGAGAGTTCATTTATTATGATAAGACTTGCGGCACAACATTTTGTCATAATAAGTGAAGTCTCAAAAGTATCTGTTACTTGTATCGAGGGTCAAATGAACCCAACTAAGCCAAACACCAGATTGTTTGGATTCGACTTGTTCATTTGCAAAGATAATGTGGGATTGACTAGTGATCATGACAAGCTTCAAACTTCTGGCTTAACCTTGGGTCATTAATTTTTTATCCAATGCTTAGCTTGTCTATTTAAACGAATTGAACTCAAAGCTCGAGTTCAATTCAGACACATATTCAAGTTACTCAACTTATTTATTAAACGAGTCGAACTCATAACGTTGGACAAATTACCAAACTTAAACGAAGTTTTATGCAAGTCCATGTTGCAGCTCAGTCCACAACATGTACTTGCTTTGTCAAATCATCGTATGAATAGTTACAAACCTTAAAATGAGACTAGTGAATGGTAGTAATTCAAAAGTTTTGGGATATTGGATCCATGTTGTCCATTCATAGGAAACTAAACCTCTCTGTGTGTTCATATCTAAATTCACAGGTTGATGACTCTCTGAAAGCAGAAGATGTTGAAGTTTACTACGATCCAGCAGAGTTGTTTGCGGGTCTGTTGAAGGGACCACCAGTGTCTGAACCACAAGAAGGGGATGAAACTTCAACCTCTACTCTTGGCTGTCCATTTCACAAATAGATCAATGTCTCCTTTTTTCTTTTAAGGCTAAATAATCTCCCTACTTTCATTTACTTTCATTGCAACAGTGATATCACGTGTAGTATGTGTACTATGTTCATCAATGACAATAGCTATGTACCTATTTAATATGATATGGCTCACTAGCCATTACTCTCATATTCAATGTGTAAGCATTATATTCAGGCTTCAAGGTTATATTTTGCGACGAAAAGAGTGTCTAGTGCACGATAAGACTATTGTTGATTAGATATATGCGGCTTAACTCTCGTGTTAGGAGAAATTATTTTGTGACTCATAATTATGTTTTATAAATCAAAATAGAACAAAGTTACTAATATATCAAAGCTCATTTTGGCACCGTGTTATAGCGTGGTGCAACCAAAATAAGAAAAGAAGACATCTCCAGTTTCATAGGTTCAGGCCAGTGTCACCGCACATTGGTAACATCACCAAGCTCCATGAGAATAACGACGGCTTGTTTCTCCAGTCTTGGGCACGGCATAGTAGGATTTTTCAGCAAGTGCTTGACTACCCATGAGCATAAAACATGACTACACATGATTTATACACAATGCAAATTAATTATACACAATTATATATATAACTTTTGATGATATCTCAAACAAACTCTACCTGTGAACTTAAGAAAAGAGGTCAGGAAAGACACGGAGAACTCAGAGAATCAGAGGTAGAGCTTCTCTTGGGGAGGTCGTAGCAGAATCGACCAGGAAACAGCTGGGTGACTGCAAAAATTGAGCCCAATGCATAAAACTCTCAACCAACCAAAATTCTCTCATAAAATCAAGGAGGATCCCATGAATAATTGGTAAAGATCTCGGTTGAAATCCCATAGAATAGGGAGCAACTTTATAAATACTATGTAATGCCTCATCAAGAGAGGAGACCCCTGGAAAAACCCTAATTAGATGATGCATTGTACGGNGTGAGACCCATCTTATACGTTGTTTGTTTGACATTTTATAGTCAGTACTATTTTTCAGGTCGTAATACTTACCCGCTATGAACAGTAGCCATAATGCCTTGTAGAAGGTCTTAATGAATACCACTTAAGGGGTGGTATTATATTCTTGGTATATGTATTATAAACTAAAAAGATCGAAATGCTTTCCGGTACAATTCCCATATAAAAGCTTAGCCGCAATTTTTTGACTTTTTAAAGGTTAAAATTGTCTTTTATATTGATTAGCCGCAATTGTTGACTTTTTTAAGTAGGTATTACACAGAAAATATTTGTGATAAACATACAAGGAGAATTGTGAGATTATAGTTTAACACTGAGTATAATATACTATTAGATTGAAGTGAAATGAATATAAAATTTTATATCACCTAAATTTTATACTCGAAACAAACATTCCCCAAGTGTCTATATTGTGTATAATTAGGTATAATTTGTGTCTTCAGACCTAGTGTAACATGAGTGAAAAATGATAGATTTGAGAGGAGAGGGAGCAAAATTTAATGTAAGTAGTTTTGAGAGAGATATTAGTAACCATTAGATAAGTTTATTTAATATTATTGAATAAATTTATTAAAATTTATTTTATTTTATATTATAAATTAATGTTGTACCGAGTGACTTTTGGCATCCTCCTTGTGTTAGGTTGGGCATAATGATCAAACCCGTTGTCTTTTTCGTCCAAGAATAGTTAATAAAAAAGTTGTCCCATTATATGGGATTGACTACACCAATTTTGTTTTCCCAGTCTTCTCTTTTAGGCCACAGGGTTATAAAGTAGATTTCCATTTGAAAAAAAAAACATATAGAATAATTATAGAAAATTATAATTTTTTAAGTTCAAATTATAGTTTTGTAGAGTTTAAGTTACAATTTAAAGAGTCATAATCGATCGTTCAATATTTTGATCTACTAATGATTAGGTGTATTATAGTAGTTAAGTTTGTCCTCTTACAATTAAGAGATTTTAGATTCGATATTTTTCACATCTTCTAAAAGTCAACCACTCTTATTCCTAAAGAGATATGTTCTTAAACTAATTCGAGTTACGGTGGCCGATTCAGAGCTCTAGAGAGTAGTTGACGCAAGTCTAAACACCTTGTAACAAAAAAAAAAGTATTTTGATCGATTATGAAAATCTAAAGGTTTTAAAAGCAAAGTTAAATATTTTAAAGGTAAAATAATAATTAACTCAAGTTATTTGTTATCGAACATAACATTTTATGATCAATTACAATATTTAAAATTGATCTTAAAATTATATATTAAACGATAATGAACAATTATTATAACTTCTCTTTTGTAAAGTGTAAATTAATTTTTAACTATAATTTTTTTTTTCTCAACCTTAGATCAGCAAGGAAAAGGACAATTTAAGCAGAAAGCATGAGGAGAGGAGACGTCAACCATGGCTATCCAATAGCCTATTATCAGCCCCTTTCTCTGATCTATAAAACCCATACCCCAGCTTGAGTCTACAGCAACTTTCTGTTATACTAACATGGCTTCTAAAAGTGAAGCGACTGTAAAACTTGCAGGAGATAAGTACCGGTCTTTCTTGCATGAGGAAGCAGATAACGTCCACTGGAGACATGGTGGGCCTCCCATATACGACGAGGTGAATCAGCTCTTCGAACAAGGCCGAACCAAGGTGTCTAACCCTCCCTTCACCTCTCTCTCTCTCTCCGGCATATGAATATGTATATATGTGTGTGTGTGCGTGATTGATAAAGTTCTATGGGTTAGCCTCTACATCTCTCTTAAACATCGTGGTGACATGAATTGTAGGTATGGCCAGAAGGATCCCTAGAAGAGACGGTACAGAATGCTATAAAGTCATGGGAAATGGAGCTTTCTCATAAGACTCGCCTACAAGACTTCAAGACCATTAACCCACAAAAATTCAAGCTCATTGTCAACGGTAAAGCACCTGCAAATCCCCAACTTTTTGCAGTTATATTATTTCTTTTTAACATTTAAAGGAATATATTTAATTTTAAACTTATTTTAGCCAAACATCATACCACACTCGTAAAGACCCTTACTACATGCGAGGAGAGATTCATGTATAGCCTAAATCTTATTTGAGACCTTCCACAAAATATTCAGGTTAAGATCTACCATGAATTCAATCATTAGTTGGTAAAAACACTATAATTCTAAACAAAGATACCAAACTAATCTCTCATCATAGCAAGCAAAATAAGGGGGAAAAAAGTGGAAATTTCATCTCTACTCTTCATAAGGGATATATTATTCTGCCTTCCGACACTCCGCACTTCAAAAAGTTTTCTAGTACAAAGGAGCACATATTGTGGTGTCCATTTTGTGGGGTTTGATGATTTTGGGTTGATCTTAGTCGAGGTTGAAAATTTGAGTTTTACAGTCTAAATTAAGGTTTGGTGGTTGATCACCGGGGCTGATAATTAAACTGAGCTACTCGAGTTTGGTTCGGGTACCGCTCGTTCTGGCTCGGTTCGTTTTTTAAACGAGCTCGAACTTGAACAAATTTTTAACCTCGTTTAAAAAATAAGTCCTACAAGCTCGACTCAAACTCGACAAGTTCGTCTCGTTTATGTGTAAATATTCGGACTCGGTTCGGGCTCGATTTATTTTTGACTTATTCAGGCTCAGCTCGTTTTTTAAACGAGTCGAATTTGAATAATTTTTAAAATTCAATTAAAAAATAATCTTTTTAAGCTCGGCTCGAATTTAGCTCAAGCTCGTTCGATTAACAACCTTATTGATCACTAGTGCTAATTTAGTGAAGTTCGTTCTTAAAAAAAATAATAGACACGTTTAAAAGTTTCATAATCCTACCAATAAAAATTTATTGGTGTAATATCTGAGCACTCCCTCAGTACCATTTTGGATTGATAAGACTCAGACCTATTGTGGTTCTGGCCCAGATTTGCGATGGTAGGTTTGGACAGTAAGGATGCTTCGGGTGGCTGGTACAATAGTTGGTGGGTTTATGTTCGTGTCAATCAACTCAATCGGTACTATCCTTCATTTATTTACCAAGTATAACTGTTTTTTTTTAAACGTTGATGTTTGAGTTAGTTTATAGATATTTTGATTAATTTTTTTAAAATTTAATCAAAAATAAATTATTTACGCTAAAATTAGAATATTTATGAGAGATAAATATCTTATAATTTGACCCTAAAAGATCGTCAAAATTCGAATTTCAAATGTTTAAATTTACAATTCGTTCTTATTACTGTTTAATTTACATAATACTTTCTACCAAAATTTTTAATACGTTTTGAATTCTAAACAAATATATGAGTTATAAGATCGATGTATAAACTCTCATTAACTATCCAATAATTATTAATGTGTCACATTATTTAAAATTCAAAATTTAATAAAAATTTTGGTAAACACAACATTTATCCATAAGTTTATGTTTTTCTTTTCTTAAAATATCTTTTGGTGGTGGGCGAGAGGTCAAGAGCATCATAAGTTCTAGATAGCAGGATTGAATGTTGTCACAATACTGGTTTATTGGGGTCACGTGGAGAAATGATTGTGACTAGATAATCGTTTTTTCGATAGAGAAAAAGTTACGAGTATTGTTATTGTCACATAAAAAATTAATTTGATTTGTTAATTTAATAACATGACAAGCGATAGAGTTTCAATAAAAAAATTTAACACCTCCAAAAGATGATATACATTTAGGCTCAAATGTTTTGAATTTTATTTGAGTTTTGAAGTATTGCTCATCCTTAAGAAAAATGTTACATAACCCAAATGAAATCCAAATGCATATCATTTCTTGGATTAGTGTGAGATAAGTAGACTTCACTGAAAAAATTGATGAAATCCATTCGTCTAAAAGATGATATGAATTTGAGTTGTAACTTTTTGGGTTTTATTTAGGTTTTGTAGAATTGTTCTATCCTTAAATTAGTTTGAGTTATGGCGGCCGGCTCAGTCAGAGCTCGAGGGAGTAGTCGGCACAAAGCTAGATACCTATAGCAAAAAAAAAAAAAATTGAAAAAGTGCAACGAGAAATTAAATCAATTTTGTAAGTATTAATAGCATTGCACAAAAATTATAAGGGCAAAAGGTCGTGGTTTATGAAAGGGTTCCAAAGGTCCTATAGCCCATCCACCATGGCCGGTCCAAAACATTGTGGCCCACAAAGTCTAGTGGTTTCATGAATGGGTCCAAAAGTCCTACA